GGGGGGGGGGGGCTTACTGAACGTCCAGATCATCCTTCTCTATGGCTTTGAAGCGGTACAGAGCCATGTAGTAGTGAGCCGTACTGAACACGCCCATCTTCCCTGCATTGAGCTTTTTACTCTGATCAACAAAAACACATAAAGTGCTGCCTTAAGAAAGTATCTTAGCGATGTTTTCATTTACATCATTGTTGTTGTTTTCATTGTCACATTTTCATACCTTGTCATCTACTGGAGCCTTGTCTCCTTCTGTGTTTGCTGGTATGTCGCAAGAATAAAAATGAGACAAAAAACCAAATCATTCCAAATGTAATCATTGTTAATACTTTTTAATGTTGTTTACAGTTTGTCGTGATTAAACATTAGCATTGAAAAAACTCCCAAAAGCACAAACTGAAGGCAAACAAATAATGAAAGTTTTTCTTTTCTTTTATCTATTTAACACAAAAACATTTCCTTCCAGGGTGGAACCAAACAATCCCTTTCCAATGTTGATAACTTTTCTGTTCTCACTCACCTTCTTCCCCTTCTTCACCCTCCTGTTTTGGCTGGGACTCATCATCCTCCTCCATCATCATCTAATCAATTTAAGATAAATGTTACATAAGACATTATAACAAATATACTGTAACACACCAGGGGTACCCATACATCAAAGTGTAGTGAAGTAGTTCACACAGTACACAATGGTCGACAAAGTACTCGTAAATAGTAAATAAAAGCAGCTTAGCAAATCCATAGATGTACTTGTTGTACTGTAGAGAATATGTTAAACATTGAGTGAAGCACTTTGACATCAATGAAAAGGTGCAATACAAATATAATGTTGTTTGTGCATTTACACTCACATTCTTCTTCTCATCTGACCCTTTTTTACGCTCCTTGTTGGCCATGATCACACCGATACGCATCGTCTCAAACACTGGGTCAGTGCGGTTTGACTGTGCTGCGCATCAAACGTCATTGATCCATTCACATTAAGAGAAAACACACATTCAGATGAGTATGCAGTTCTAACAAAGTATATTTAAGTAGAATCAACTTAAATGTGACTGCAGTGATGGACTTAAAGAAGGGCTGTTCATGCTTTGTTATCCCAGCAATCTTAGTCTTATTTGTGACTTTGGACACACCGTAGCAAAGTTTAAGCAGGGTAGAGCTGTGGTATTTTGTAAAGAACAGCCACTCTTATGGTATCTGATGATGGTGTCATAATTCAAATACATGACTAAATACTAATGATTAGGAGGTCAAAATTAAAAGATTGATCAAAAATGTTTGTGCTCTTGCATCATCTGTAAATACTTCTACATGTGGAAGCATATTTACTAAATAAGATTAAGCAAAGCAAAATGGTCCATTTAGCTTTAAGAAATGTACACAAGTTGGACTCACAAAAGGGCAGCAGCTGTGAGACGGTGGCATTCTGCTGAGTGCTGTACAGAGGAGAACTGTACGCTCTCCTGAATCCTGGAGGCTGGAAGAGGAGAGGAGCATGTACACTGTTTATCTGAAGGTCAATTCTCCGCAGTGCATTGTTTTGTTAACGCCTATATTACTCCATAAACTCACAATTTTGCCAAAACACTTCTGGTACTCTACATAGGACTGACACTGGTGGTGGATGTTGGTTTTGCAGTTCTTACATCGCAATGCAAACTTGTTGTTTACTGAGGAGAGAAACAAAATCAGGCGAAATGACATCAGGGAAGAACAAGAGGCACTGAGGTCCACTTTTTTTGTCTTGCAAGAAAGGAAGAGAGGTGGACGTACAAACTATCATGCGAGCGCAGACGTCACAGAACTTTGGCTTCTTGCAGTAATGGTCCTTAAACTTGTGAGCGCTGTCGTTGACTGGTCTCACTGGTTCTACAGGAAGTTCCTCTTTTTCTTCCACCTCTACTTCCTCATCATATATGAAATACACCTGGGTGATGAAAGGGCAGTGGGTCATAAATGTTCAATACAAAACTGCCGGAAAACATAAAACACAATGCACTTAAATTGAGTGTAACAGCAGCCAGCAATGGAGAATGTTAAAAAGCCTTCGGGCAATTTATTTGTTTCTTCAATCAAGCAAAGTCGGGGAAAAAAAGATGAATTGTTCATAAATTATTCAGTTTAAGGATTTCATTGAATTGTTTATTACTGTCCTAGATTTGCCTTTTTACTCATGTTTCATTCTTAGTAGCCTGCACCACCCACAGCCTAGCAGATTGATAATTAAGAACGATGCTATTAATACTGAAGCACCCTGCGGACTGAGTCATATAGTCTGTCTGGTGTCTGTTCTCACAAACTGTATCAGATCAGCCAGAGTCGTCAGAGCTGTGACTACTGACACCCCCCCCAACACACACACACACATCTCAAAATAGCGCTCACACACCGGAGCAAGACAGAATTTCTGACTGAATGATACAAAGCTCCACATTGCTACCTACTCCTAAATATACTACAGCACAGTCAAACAGAGCCCTATGTCAAACACACATCCAAAGATGTGCACACACACATGCACACACTCAGAGGGACGCCTGACAGGCTGCACTGGCTCTGACTCTCCATCTCTGGCAGGATTAGAGGCGTCCTGTGGCCGCTGGCTGTGGATTTACACTAGAATAACTGATAATACCCGGGACAGTTCACACATTACAGCGCCATCACTCTGCAACTCTATTTAGCTGACACCAATCCTAAACAAACCTCCCAAATTGTGTCAGTACATTTCAGCTTAGAGTCGACTTATACAAACTACCTTGGCGATATTTCACAAATCAAGAGAGCAGAAAGACAGGGGACGTGATATCTGTCCCAACATAATGTATCAGGTGTGATAACAAGACATGAGGCTGTATGAAATCCAATAAATAAACATAACAGATTCAAAATGTGATGTTTTGGACTGAAAAACTTTATGGATTTGCAAAAAGTTGTTCATCTAAAACTCTAAGCAAGCAAGTCCAAAACTATGTCTATGTCATACCACTAAAACTAGATATACAATCAAACTGAAATTAGTTTTTGGTAATTTAATTGTATTCAACCATTGATTTGGATATAGCCTAAGCTTCAATGTTGGATGTTGACATCCAACATTAATATTTCCCAATGTAATGTAACATTTGTGTGCAGTTGCTTGGCATGTATAAATGGTATACAGCCTCTTGATGTGTGTGTACCACATGATATGTTGAGGATATAGGATGTCTCACCGTGTTGTCGTCCTCTTTCATCACATTATTGGGGGGAGGGGGGTCGTCATGAATATCCACAGAGTTCTTGTCATCCATCCTGTCATCATCGGGTAGCAAATGTCACACAGAGAAGCAAATGTTGAAACGCAAAAGACCAATATGTGGTTTATATTTCACGGTGGTCTGACTGAGTCATTGAATGCCTCAGAAGTCACATTTTGGGGGGTTTTCTTAGGGGATCTTTAGGGTTTCTTAAGTGTGATTTATGTTTGGTGTTGGTGTACGACTACATATGAGATGTAATGTTACTTAGGATTATAAAGAGACCACACACAGGGACGCTGGCCTAAAAACTCCTTACTTTACAAATATTTTCATTTTTGCATCAGTTATCCACATATGGACAACTTACAAGTCGCAGTTAGCCATGGTGTCGTTTGGTCAGTTGAAGTTTAGTTCCTCCAGATATTCAGAGCACGGACCAGCAGATGGCACTGTCAACAAAACACAGAGCATCACTTCTGTTTCTGTTGAGGGATTCCCCCAAACAGTGTCCTCTAAAATCCTTGTAAACAATCATATCACATAGGAAAGCAACTTATTTCAGCTTGACTTACAATAAATAACCATCCAGGAACCTCAGGTGAAAATAAGATTAACATTTCTCTTGTTTTTTTTACTTGAATTCATAGACCTTCTCCTCTGATTTGCATTGCTTCTGTCATCAGTGAACAGCAGTCTATTATCAGATGCAGTGAACAGTGAGTTCTGTTCCGGAAAAAAGTTAAACTCATGAGCCTTTCTCATGGCTTTTTATGAAATGTATGGCAAACACATCCAGAGGGTTTCCCCCTTCTCTGGTTGCTCTACACCAGTGGTTCCTTACCTTACAATGGACCCCTTCTCTTGATAACTAAACCGACAACCAATAATGTATTTTATAGATATTTTTTGCATACCAATAAAAGTTGTCTTAAAAGAGATAAAATGTACAATGAGTAAAAAAGTGAGCACAATAACTGCAAAAAGTTTGTGTAAAACAAGCCATTTGGAGGAATGTTGAGCATTTAGTGTGCCTGCTCCCTGGGCTTGGCCATTGTTCTTAATCTCTTTGGTTGTAACCTTATGACGAGGCACTTTTTCATGAAGGCTCTGTAAAAAAAATATTGTGATCAGGTTTTCCATATGTCCTGAACTTAGGAACAAATTATGATCCAAACTTTACAAATGTATTAACGAGACACGGCAGGCAAAAACATCGTTTTTCAAGCACTGGTCAATTTTGAGATTTTGTGCTATTTTGATTCTATAACATGTTTTCTTTCAGGCTTTTGGAAGGAAAACGTACAAAATACACATTTAAGTGTTTATTTGAATATAGTTTGTCTATTTGCGTCAGTAGATTTCTCCTAAATTCACCAAAAGTTAGCTTTCTAACGTAGCATAAAGTACAGCGACCGCTGTTTGCACCATGTCATCAGAGATATCGTTGGAAAGCTGTGTCTCTCCTGCACAATCTCATCGGATCCAAATATGGTCATTTCCTTTGTATCAGCAACCAATCGTGAAAGCACAAAGGGGTCTTAAACCAAGAAACGAAATCTCATTGGCTGGTGTCAATTTCAGACAACGTGATTCGTTCAGATGCGTCACGTGGTGTGCTAAAACACTTCCTGGTTAGCTTTCCGCTAGAAATGTAAATCTCAAAATGGCAAAAGAACGGCGAAAAAAAAAAGTTTACAGAGAAGATGACAACAATTATCCCTTGCACGAAGCAAGATTATACAAAAAACAAATGACCCCGAACATGAAATACCTTCACGGAGTGCGTCGAGGCGCAAGCTGTCATCCAAAGAACAGGAGGGTTTAGCTAGCGCCTCACTGCAATCTTTAAAGGTCGTTTTCTCAAAATGAGTTTTTTCTCCTACTCTGAGTTCAAAATTTCAACTTCAGTAGCACGTAGACACACCAAACCTTCCAGTTATATTCCTATCAATATTATGAAGGCTTTTACAGAAGGGTTTGTTCATATATCATTCATAGCCTGAATTATACAACATTGTATACCTAAAAACATGGCAAAAATTGATATTTTAGGGCTGTTGACAGTATTTTCTGATTTATGGAGTGATAAAAAGAGATATCCAAAATCCCTTCTGTAAAAGCCTTAGATACTAATATGACTACAAAATAAAACAAGAATTTTGAACCTGGCTTTATCCAAAGTTCAGATTTCGATTCCTGAAATGTGTTAAAATATGCACATATTTGATGAGATAATGGCTAATTTGCATATTTAAACATGCTATTTCAGAAAACTTGTAATACAAAAGACAATTGCCTTATTGTAAGTAATTAACTGGAAAAAATTTCTAGCTGATACCTTTAAGTTAAAAAAATTACCCTATTCACCTGGGGTGTCTCGCCTTAATTTAGGTTTTTCTCCTAAATAAATGAAATCCTGAGATAAAGGTAATTTAAAAATCATAAAAAGGTTACTCCAATTGATATCAAGGAACCCCAAGTGAAGCTTTGGTCCTTTTCATGTTAAAATTCATAAACAAGAAACGACCCAACACTAACCCGAGAGTGTTAGTAATGGGTTAAAAGAGGATAGAGGGTAGATCATTCATACAACTGACCGTAAAACTGGAATTCCACGTCTTCTAAAAGTGAGATGGTTCCTAACATAGGATCCCTGAAGCTTCAGACTTTCTCTGGCTTTGCTTTGCTGATCAGTCCCCTGCATGCTCAACTTTCCAAATGAGACTCCAACAGATGGGAGATTGGATGAGTAATGCCAGCAGGCAAACCCAGCCTAGTTTTTGTGTGTGTGTGTGTGTGTGTGTGTGTGTGTGTGTGTGTGTGTGTGTGTGTGTGTGTGTGTGTGTGTGTCTGCTTGGGACAGCTGAGCACTACTGAAGCTGAGAAGCTTCTGCTCAGCTTCAGTTGCCTCACTCACAGCATATTAAAGCGTCGTGTTAAATATTGTCACACTCCCAAACAGTTGAGCACCTTATTTATCTTGTCAGTTTTGAAAGTGAAGTCTTGAAAAAATGATTTTCAACCAAATATGAATAACATGTGCAGTAACTTACTAACTAAAAATCTCAATCACTAAATGTGAAATACTTTTAAATGTTTAAAATAACAATAACTGTCACAGATCAGCTTTATAGTTGGACATAATACTATTTTTTAGAATAACTTATCAATCTTTATTTTAAAGAGTTAAGGAGCCTACATGATCTTCTGGAAGCTCATCCCATGATTTTGCAGCACAAAATGTGAGGAAAGCCCTCAGTTGGAATAATGTTAAGGAGTTCCCTCTTGAATCATACATGTTAGTCTAAAAGGAGACCACTGGCTTCGATGTGACATAGAACTCAGTCATGTCACCCCTTTGTCATGGTTACAGTATAATGCCCTGTACAACAATAAACTACATTACAATGTGTTAAAAACGACATATTATATGATGTGACCTTTTTTCTCCTTAAATTAAACCCTTAGTGTTTAAAATGAAATAAAATCATGTGATATGATTGAAAGCGCCGGATAACCCACTAAATAGATCCTCAACAATGTTACAAACGCAACATACTACCAGAAAAGGACATCATTTACCATTGACAATACAGAAACACTACACTAACTTGCAGTTATATCTTTATTTATTTTTATCGAGATAGAAAGAAGGGTAGCGAAGAGAGGGAATAAACTTGTCATTTGTGTCTCTTTGTTGTTGTTTTGGTCTCTTTGTGGTTGTTTTGGTCTCTTTGTAGTTGTTTGTGTCTCTTTGTAGTTGCAGTAGTCTTGTGTCTGTAGTTAGAGAACAGTTAAGGCAGAAGAAAGAGAAGAGCTTTCAGTTGGTGGAGAGGTCACTCATTGAGGGAACAGCAGCAGAACATCTTTCTCAGCAGACACGGCCTTTCGGTCCGGACAGGCTGATCCCACGCTGAAGCTTTCTGAACCTGTGATTAAAATGTAAAAACAGCATAAGTAAACAGTTTTAAAACAATAAACCTGTACAGTTCAGCATAGAGATGACACGAGAGGTCTGGAAAAGAAGCCAACTCTAATTTCACAACCTCAGATCCTGAAAAACAGCAAACATAATAGTAATATCTACAAACGAAAACCTGAATTCCAGTAATTTTATACACAAAATGGCTTTATCAAGTGTCATTCATTTATCTTTCAAATGTGTGGCAAAAGTGAACAGTGCCTTTTAGTTAAGCTTTTTTATTCTATGTAACTTAGCTATGTTTTCTCAAATCTTGTTTAATATAGTCTTGTGTTTTCTTTCAAACTAGTCTAATCAATGTCATTACCCAGGTGAATGTATCCTTGCGCTTCCTGGCAGCCATGACATCATTCTTCCCAGAGTCAGAATCAACAGAATGAGGACAAAAGAAGCTTCTCTTCATGGTCTGAGTTTGTAACGGAAGTAACCTTTCTCGGTTTTCTGGGACAATGAAAACCTCCTCGTCCTCCTCGTCCTCCTCGTCCTCCTCCTCATCCTCCTCCTCCTCCTCCTCGTCCTCCTCGTCCTCCTCGTCCTCATCCTCCATTGAATCTATTCGAAAAAAGTCAAACCAGTTTGGAGATGGGTTGCTTCCGGTGTCCGTTGATGTGTCATCCTCATCCTCATCTTCATAATCAAACAACTCCAGAGGGGTGGAGCAGACGTTCGATGAGGCTCCAGGAGACGAGGAGAGTTTGTGTCCAGGGGACAGTTTATCTGCTGACACTCTGACCTCCGTGTCTCCTTGTTTGTCGGAAACCGGATGGATCTTCTTCTCCTTCATTTTACGAAAGCAGATCCACCACTCCAGCTTATTCTCCTGAACTTTTCCTGTATGAGAACTGCTAGATTTGTCATCTTTACTCCTTGCATCTGAATGTTTTGCGGTTTTTACTATCTTGTGTTGCGTAAAGAGGGATTGCACTTCCACGATTGCCGGCCTCCTCTTGCATAACCTGCAACATGAGGACTTGCAGCAGGTGTCAGAGTGATCATTGGAGGATCCTCCGCTCAGAAAAGCATTTATGGTCTCTGACTGAACAGAGGTAACCTCATCACTGATCGCTCTCAAGATGCCCTCGGTGAATTTTGGAGTTATGCCAAGATACATGTCAGCATCAACGAAGCTACTAAGAGCCTCGGCAGACGAGCTTTTCAGACTCTGCTGGAGGTTGTCTTCTATGATGACACATTTATTTTGGAGAGTCTCTGAGGACAAATTGGCACATGCCTGGGAAGAGGTCAAGGAACCGTACGGTGTTGCATATTGATTCACAGATTTTGAAAAGATGTCGGTGATGGTCTCAATGATGAGACTCAGCCCCTCCACGCACACGCTAGCCAGCTTGTCGTTCACATTAAGGTCATAAACACCTTCTCCTAATACCATCCGCTGCCTAAAAAAGAAAACAAGCAAACAGTTTAACAAAGCCAAATCACCAAAAAACATAACAAATGTGAATTGTATTTAAGTGTTCAAAGGACTCTCAGTGAGGAAATTAAATAACGTACTCTTCGTTAACGCTGTCATAGAATCCCTTGACTGTTTTGTAGAAGATGTTTTTCAGGCCAGTGAGCTGGGGTAGGGCTGCGTCTACATTGTCCTCTTGGAAATGCTCAGGAAGTCTGTCCTCCTCTGGACATGGAGAGAGAGATGTTGAGTCCTTGCTTGTTGACTCTTCCTGTATACTGACAGCCTGAACAGGGTTGCAGATATCTTTGTCTATCTGCTGGGAGAGTGTATCCGCTTCCACAAAGGACGACTCTCCAGAAGACGGGGATGCTGAATTTGTCAGGTTACTGAGTTCAAATGTCAAGTAAGGACATGAGCCAGACCCGACAGCCTCATCCAAATCCTCTTCGGTCGCCTGCCAGACCTTTTTCTTTGGTTTTGATATAAAGCAGCTCTTCAGTGAAGACTTCATCTTCTTGTAGATGTTGCTTTCACGTGTGCTTGCTGATTTCACACCTGTCCAGTAGGGTTTATAAAACCTCTTTGCACTGTCCTTCAGAGCAGTCTGGCAGACATATATTTCGTGTTCTTGGGAGGGTTCATCAATTACCATAAAGGACAACTCTCCAGAAAACAGGGATCCTGAATTTGTCTGAGAACTGTCTTCAGACGTCAATTCACTGCTGGCTGACTCGACTAACTTATCCACATATCCTGCACCCAGCAACACCAGGGGAACTGTTGGTGTTGCGTCCATTACTGTGACTAGTTCGTCCTCCATCGATTTGTCTATGACACTCTCTGGTGTGTCATTCCTTTCTGCCGTATCCATCAGGTCCATAGGGACAGAGCTCAGGTCTACTTCCTCAGCAAACTTTAAGTCCTCACTGGAGCCAGTGGAGAAACTGATACATATCTCTTCCGGGGATTCACTGCTGGACGTCAAGTTGCTGATAGCTGCCAGGTGGCCCTGAGGAGGTTCAAGATCCTTCCCTGAGGGTCCTGGTGTAGACTCTGTGTTTGTGACAAGGTCTGTAGAGCCAGACTCGACAGCTTCATCCAAATCCTTTTCAGTTGCCAGCTGGACCTTTTTCTTCGGCTTTGATTCCAAGCAGCTCTTCAGTGAAGACTTCATATTCTTGTAGATGTTGCTTTCACGTCTGTTTGCAGATTTCACATCTGTCCAGTCGGATTTACAAAACCCCTGTGCACTGACAGTCAGAGCAGTCTGGTAGACATCTTTGTTCTGGGAGGGTTCATCCATCTCCTGGAAGCACACCCTTTTCTGGATATTTCCTTTAGATGTTGAGTCACTGCTGTCTAATCCGACAATCTCACCTGTGTGTGAGGAAGTCTTTAAAGTCTTTCGCATAATCAAATTCTCATGCTCCACATGATCAACCAACTGCAGAGGGACAGAGCTCAGGTCTTCATGCGTTGCGTCCCTGATGTCCTCACTGGGGGGTGTATGGGCCGAGGGAAACGCCTCTTCAGGACATGGAAAGCCATAGTTCTGATCTGCTCTCTTTTGCTCCAGTTTAAAGCAGTGCTTCAATGCAGACTTCACGTTCTCATAGATCGTACTGCCTTTAGGTTTCTCATGTGTCCCATCAGAATCACGAGATGTCTGTGTACTGGTAGTTGTAGTTTCATGTCCTTCTTGTCCTGATGGTCCTGGTGCTGAATCCATCTCAGGAACAATGTCTTTGTCTGCGTCTTCCAGTGTCTCTCCCTGGTATTCTGCGAACAGACGCCGGAGGCCAAAGAAACGGTCCAACTCATGCTCAATATTTTGGTTAACACGACGAGCAGCAGAGGATTTATCTCCATCGTCATCAGCCTCCCACCTGGAGATAGACTGCAACAGCTCGCATAAATTCCCAGTAGATCGTTCAAGTATCTCTGAGACGATAGTGCTGGCAACTTCAGAGGTTACTGAGGAGGGGGAGGAGGCCGTCTTCTCGCTTTTCTTGCTAGAAGTTCTGGAGGTTGAATCTCTCTCGCTGACATAGAAATGTTCTGCCTCATTCTCCATTATATCAGGATCCAGAGGGCTTTATTTGACCTTTGTAGTCTTTTGGAAAAAAACAGTGACAAAATGTTACATGTAGTAGTAGTGCTATTATTGCCACCAAAACACATATGGAGCAAAGCATATCACAGTGATGACTATAAATGACGGATTAATGTTACTTTCTTTGAGCAGGTAACTTAAAAACATTAGAAGTTGTTCAAAAATAAACATTCACTTTCTGACTTCTTTACCAGTTTATATGATTCATGTGTATTGGTATTTGCACCAACTGGAGCCACATTAGCAAAAAACAACAGTTCTACAACTATTTTGTACCAAAACCATTAGTTGAAAGAGTATTAAGATTGCTTGATTCAATAACTGATTTAATCAAAGGCTACAGAAGTTTTGGCAATGAAATGAACAGAAAGCATCAGATCACAAGTAACAAACTAAGTACTGCAGAACGGCCCCTTTGAGTGTTATCATAATATTATAGGATCAGTAATATTGGCTATCATGTAAGCTGCATTTAAATGTTAAGGCTGATTTCAACAGCTCCATATACTGTTGGTTTAATCTTAAACAATGCTTCATATTTTATAAACTGCTCATATGTTTTGTAAGTAAACACTTAGTCTACAAAGTAAGTATTTTCATAGCAGGGAAAATTGATAGAATACAATACAAAGTACAGTATGTATCTTTGTTTGGTAGAAGTATAAAGTAGCCTTAAAATTAATTTGTCAAGTAAAGCGTGATAAATACCTCTTTTTGGTGAGACATCTGTTTTTCTTTCTTCTGCTTTTTGCTTTTGACATGTTTTTGTTTTTGTATTTTTTTGAATCAACATTCCACATTCCATTCACATATTGATATTCAGTTTTCAGTCAGGCTCTTTTATTTGGCTTCCAATTCTCTCACCTATAAATACTGAATATAAGGATATCTTCGATGAACAGCAGGTCCAATACTGTGTGTTGCCGATATCAGAATGATTAATAGGTAAGGTCAGAAAGGTTAACATTTCGAAAAATATAAAATTACTATCTTTCTGTGTATTCTGTAACACTGGTGCAGATAATACATGTATTGTTCCACTTTATGTTGTTCATGTTTTGTGAACATTCTTGGGACTAAAATGAGTTGATCAAAAATATATGGAGAAAAAAATCATCGGGACAGAAGTGCAAATGATCTAAAACAGGGGCGTCCAAACTTTTTTCACCGAGGGCCACATACAGAAAAATATACGAAGGGCTGGGCCGCTCACTAGAGGTTAGGTATATTGTAGGTCAATTTCATGGGTTGGCCATATTCTTTTTTAATTTGCCGAGGGCCGATTCAAATGGCCCCCGGGCCGTAGTTTGGATACCTCTGGCCTAAAAAGGAAAATGTGGCTTTCCTTCACCTGAAGCTAAAGCGGACACATCTGTTAGCGCAACTCCTGAATTTAAGGAAGCCATTGTGAGAAAATGTTTAACCAAACTTAACCTACAACTTTGGACTGAAACGCTGAACAGGGTTCTCCACAGACAAAATGAAAAAGTATGCTTTGAATTTGAAGTTAGATGCATTGATGAAATATAACTTCAGTATAGTAAGGAAAAATATATGCAAAAAAACCATTGAAACTATTTGAAAGGATATGAAGCTTTGTAGATTCAAATCACCCAGCATCCATACATTTTAAGGAGTGATACGTTTATGTTTCTGTTGGAAAGAATCTTACCAGTAGGCCTACTAACAATTGTAAGTTACTGTATGGAACTCGTGGGGGACCCTTTCAAACAGTGACATAACTAAATGTGTTTCTTTGAATGGACAATTATGTTGAAATACTGTAATCCATGTATTGTAATTTGTTCATTAGTCACGTAATAAAAAAACAAAGTAAGAGA